AGTCAGTATAACTGGTGTCTCCAGAAAAGGGGAAGATTTGAACACAAAGACTTGCGGAGAGGGCAGACAATGTGAAGATAGTCACACAAAGATAGACACTGGATTGAAGTGATGCATCTGCAAGCCAATGAACACCTGAGACTACCAGAAGCCAGGGGAGAGACATGGAACAGACCATACCTAGCTTCTTCAGAGAGAACATGGTTCTGCTGATACCTTAATTTTGGACTTCTGGCCTTCAGATCTAAGACAAATTTCTATTGCTCTAAGCAAGCTAGTTTGTGTACTTCGTTACAGCAGCCCTAAGAAACTGTTACGCTATTTATTGGCAATTTCTGAAATATTTTTAAATATCGTGCAGGTCACAAACGTCCTGTTTGCAGCCTCTGCTGAAGGGGAAGAAGGTATGGTCGTTGGTCATCTGTTCCAAATCCACAGAAGGGTGCAGCTGATGGAGAGGATGAAATGTGTACAGCAGGCTTGGCGCCCGTAGCATAGTGGTTACAGTGCTGGCCACATATGTTGAAGTTGGTTGGTTTGAACCTGGCCTGGGCTAGCTAACTAACAATGACAACTGCAACAAAAAATATCCGGGTGTGTGACGGGCACCTGTAATCCCAGCTGCTTGGGAGGCTGAGGCAGGAGAATCACTTAAGCCCAAGAATTTGAGGTGGTTGTAAGCTATGAAACCACGGCACTCTACCAAGGGTAACATGGTAAGATTCTGTTTCCAAAAAAAATTTAAAAAATATGTGCAGAGCAGTGGGCCCTCTACATCCTAAGGGTCCCAGCTATCCCTTAGGAAGTGTGTCTGGTAGAGGCTATCTTTCCTAGCTGCTCACCCAGGCTTAGAGGAAGCTACTACCAGGAACCTCTGGTCTTGCCTTTTCCCTACCCCTACAAGCCACGTCCCTTTGGGAGCCTTGGTATGCTTGGCTATATGATAAGAATAACAGAATCAGGCAGCACTGTGGCTCAGTGGGTAGGGCACCAGCCCCATATACCAGGGGTGTTAGGTTCAAACCCAGCCCCGGCCAAACTGCAACAAAAAAATAGCCAGGCGTTGTGGCGAACAGCTGTAGTCCCAGCTACTCGGGAGGCTGAGGCAAAAGAATTGCCTAAGCCCAGGAGTTGGAGGTTGCTATGAGCTGTGTGATGCCACAGCACTCTACCCAGGGCAATAAAGTTAGACTCTGTCTCTACGAAAAATAAAAAAAATAACAGAATCCCTACCTCACAGGCTTCAGATCAGAAAAGATCAATGTTGCAAAAGTATCCTAGGAGCAGTTTTCCTTTCTGAGGATGGAGGCAGGCATAAACAGGTTGGGGTACCCACTTTTGGCTGGGACCTCCTGGGTTTCCAGGGGAACATCCTCACATTCTCTTGAGGCCATGAAACTGGGAGGATTCTAAGCCCAAATTGAGCCCTGAAACCAACTGTGGCTTCCAGAGAAATGAAAATGATAATAAATAAGTGTAAAAAGAGTTAACACATCCTTTAAGTCAAAAAAAAAAAAATACATCAGGAGGACAGTCACAATTGAGTGGACTGAGAAAAGGCGTGAAGGACTAGGCCACAGGGCCAGATGGGAGTGAGGGGTGAGAGGGGTGAGGGTCCCCCTTCCCAGCCCCAGGAGGTGGAGAGGAATAGAATAGGCTGTGTGTAGCAGCTGCTGGAGAAAGTTTCCACCACGGCCAAAGCAGCTGCCCCTCCTCTGCCCAGACCTGGCCCATGCCTTGTGGCTGTGCTTATGACAGGCACCTAACGGGACAGTGGTGTCTGCTTCAGGGACATGAGCACCGAGCGCAGGCGGGACACGTCTTTGCACTGCTTGCTGCTCTTGGGGTTGAAGTCACAAAGCTGGGCCACCTTTTCCCACTCTGTGCCTGGAGTCTCTTCCTTGGATTCCTTCACAAAAGCTTCCTCAGATGCCCTGCAGGTAGAAATAGAACAGAGGTTTCATAGCTGTTCACCTTTGCCCTCGGTCAACGCTGCTCTGCTCCCATTGAGCAAGGCTGCTCTGCCCAGACTACTGTGGAACACTTTGTCCAGAGGTTTCCTTCTCAGCCCTGTGTCCTCTGACCTCAGCTAGCTGAGAACAGCCTTGGCAAAAGAGGAAGCCTGGCTTGATCCTGCCTCAGAACCTCTGCACTTGCTATTACCATTTTCTGGAATGCTCTTCCCCCAGACCTGCTCAGGGCTGGCTACTTCTTGTCATTTAAATCTCAGTGCAGGCCTCATTCACCTCCTCAGAAGGGTCTTCCCAGCCTAGGTGTTCTCTGTTCATTACTTCCCCATCACGAGTTCCCACCATGGGATTCCTGATACCTAAAGGCCCTTAAAGGAACTAATACAAAACCCTACCTGTTTTCAACATTTTCAAAAACTTGGTGGAGGTAGGACATTTACTAACCACCTAAACTACCTGAAGCACATAGTTCAGCATTGCCTAAGTTTTCTGGGTAAGTACACATAAGTATTTGACCACAATCCAGAAAGGGATCAGTTAAAAGGAATCTTTACAGCAAGACTTTCAAAGCCTTTAATGTGCTAAAATGCATCTCAAACTCCAAGGTGGAATGTGAAAGATAGAGACTCCACCACATCCAAGCATATTTGAGCATAGAGCCCTCGTTAGCCCTCAATAACTGTTATCTCTATGAAGCCACAGCCTGGGGAATGCCCCACTGGAGTCTTTGCTTTTGGTTAGAGTCAAGTTAGGATGAAAACTGGTGATCTTTCCATCAGAAGTTCTGGTTGACAGTTGTAGATGGCACTGATTAAGGGACAATGGGAGAAACAAAGTACAGTAAATACAGTATAGTGGGCAAAATCTACACATGGGACTCATTAAGAAAAAGACAAGAAAGGATTCTTGGCTCGGCGCCTGTGGCTCAAGTGGCTAAGGCACCAGCCACATATACCTAAGGTGGCAGGTTCGAATCCAACCCTGGCCTGCCAAACAACAATGATGGCTGCAACCAAAAAATAGCCGGGCATTGTAGTGGGCGCCTGTGGTCCAAGCTACTTGGGAGCCTGAGGCAAGAGACTCGCTTGAGCCCAGGAGTTGGAGGTTGCTGTGAGCTGTGATGCCATAGCACTCTACCCAGGGGGACAGCTTGAGGCTCTGTCT